ACATATTGGCATTTTCAAGGTGTGACTTTGAAGTTCCACAGGCTTGAAGACCCAGGCTAGTCACATTTTCTGAAAATCCATGATACATATATTTTGTTATTAAAAATTGATTGTCATTATGCAGTTAACCATTATGTAATATTGCATCAGAATAGAAGAAAACACAATTTTGGATGCTGCTGCCATGATGACCATTATGGGAAAACCATGTTACTTATGATTGCCAAACTTTCAAAAAAGAAATACAGGACTAAAATGCAGCCTGAGTTGGAAAAGCAGTCTGATTGACTTCTTTTTCTGGAAGTTTTACATTTTCAAAGTGTGAACTTGAACTCCCATGGGCCTGAAGCCTTATGCTTGTTTCACATTTTACTTACATTGGTATTACCTGTTGAGCATAATTAAAATTTGATGTTGAATTTGCAGTGTAACATAATGTACTTTTGCATCAGAATTGACAGTAGCCTATTTTGTTATTTCCTGCTTTTTGTCTGTACATTTGACAGCTTTGCTGCCTTGTTTTCACCAAATTTCCAAAGGCAAACATTTAAAATTTAGTGTTTCCAAAAAAAGAAAAATGATACTGCAACATTTCATTCATGTTATTAGGTAAAATAAGCTTGCAGATTTAATGTAGATTTGATATCCCTGCAGTAAGTCCTGGAGAAAAGAGTTTGTAGACATGCTGGATAGAGAGAGAGACCTTCAGATAGAAATCATATTTGCTCAATAGAAGTAAAAATCCATTGTTACACTATTGCAGGTGCCCCTGTTGGAGGCATTGGCTGTGGCACCATAGGCCGAGGGTTCAGGGGAGAATTCTGCAGGTTTCAGATGGTCCCTGGCATCTACCAGTGGCATGTGGTGGAAGCTAATCAGGTAAGGAAACTTATATTTTTATATATGCCCAAATTATAAAACAAATTGTTGCTTTGGATATTGAAAGCATACTAATATGTTGTAATTACTAGAATTCGTAGCTCTGTTGCAGTATCAAACCCATTGCAGGAAGTAGTAGTTGACCACTGTTTGTGATATACAAGAGCCTCAGAGTCTCAGTGATAAGGTGTGTAACTTTCTTCCAGTTTACAGTGTGTGTAAGGAGGAAAGGACAAACAGTGTATCAGCAGGTGTTGTCCCCCCACAGACCCAAGGGTCCTGGGCTCACTGCCTGGAATTGGGCCTTTCATGGAGAGTATGCCACCTATCATGCCCTATATCCTAGGTCTTGGACAACATATGATTTGCCAGGCCAGAATATACGGTTAATCTGTAGACAGGTTTCTCCAGTATTCCCTCATGATTATAAGGTAAGTTGTGTATATATATATATATATATATATATGCAGATTCTTTCACATTTATTTGTTGGATGTATAGGGCAGGGTGCCTCCACTTTCCTCAAATGTAGACAAATCTGATTCTGCTATCAGTGATGGGGGAATTGGAAGACAATGTTTAATTCTGTGCCAAAATCTTTTTTGCTTAATAACCTTTTTCGACACCAGGTACTAAGAGTCTACAGCCTGAAAAAAAATGAAATAAAAAGAAAATGTGGTCATATTTTTTCTGAGTTATTTGTATTTAAGAACACCAGTCTTCCAGCAGCTATCTAATCCAGCTGGTGGTACTTACCCAGGAGCTGGTATTGTCCCTCTGATCCTCTAGTTATTTTATATATTCTAGGACACCAGTCTTCCAGCAGCTGCCTTCATATGGAGCATAGAAAACCAGGGTAGTGAGCCCGTAGATGTCAGCATAATGTTCACATTCAAGAATGGTCAGGGTATTCGTGAGGACAAGAAGGGTGGAGTGTGGAATGAACCCTTTGAATCCACACACAATGCAACCAAGGTCTCTGGTGTCATGATACATCAGACATTCAAAGAAATGGGATGTACTTATGCTGTGGCTGCCTCTCACAGGGTATGTTGATGCTGGTTCTACCTGATAAACATGGTGCTGTAACATTAAAAACAGATAGAATATAGAGTACAGATTAATCATATATCTTGTAATACATTCAATTCACGAATGGCAGGAAAGCTTATTATAAGGATAACTTGGCATAAAGCGTCATAGAATGCTCATTTATTGTAACAAATCTGTATTATTTCTGATAATTTCCAGGAGGGAGTGCAAGTAAGTCACAAAGTCTCCTTTGACCCTAACAGTCCTGCTGTGAATGTGTGGCGAGATCTTCTGGAGGACGGGGAGCTGGATTCATGTCCAGGTAGTGTGGTAGATGTGCCATTGTATTAGGTGTTCTCAATGTGTCAGTTGTGCTTAGATATACCAGTGTGCTATATATGCCTTTGTATTAGGTTCACTATATATAGATCTTTTAGTTTTATCATTGTGTGTGTGTGTGTACTATGTGGAGCAGTTTGTGATATGTTTAATGTTCCATTATATAAGATGTAAAAGTATTTTTTATCAAGAGGTCTGGATAATGTAATATTTCATTGATTTTGTGTTCCCCAAAATTCTCCCTATTGTTTGCCTTCAGACCCTAGTCCAAAGACTTCTAGAGGCCAGGAACTTGCCACAGCTGTGTGTGCCAAATGTCATGTAAAGCCTCAAAGTACACAGCAAATGGACTTTAGTCTTACATGGGACATGCCTGTGATATACTTTGGTGCCAAGGAGCAGTTGTACTGCAGGTAGATTGTATCAGATGTGAACATGTGGCTTTTAAAGTAGACTGTGTTAGGTGTGACACTTGTACTAGTTCATTGTGTTAGGTGTGACACTTGTACTAGTTAATTGTGTTAGATGTGATAGTTGTACTAATTCTTCGTGTCAGGTGTGATAGTTGTAGTGTTGAACTTGATGACGTTTTGCAGAAGATCACGTCATATTTTTGATTGGTATCTTATGTTAGACAAGGTGAAGCATTCTTTTTTGATAACTGTGCTGTGAAGTCCTTCAGTTTGATAGTTTTCAAAAAACTGTTTAGTTTGCTAAAATGACAGGTGTTTTAGAATATATTTATCACTTTTCCATCATAAGATTTTGCATGTTTTTGTTTGGCAATTTATTACATGATATAAGTTGATCTCAAATGCTCACTTTTTCGTCCCCTTTCAGGCGGTACACTCGCTGGTTTGGCAGTTCAGGGAATGCCTCTCCTCATCTGGCCAGCCACACACTGAACAACTATCATATATGGGAGAAGAAGATTGATGAATGGCAGAAACCAATTGTACAGAATAGGTAGTTTTATATATACAGCATATTACATTATACTTTATATGGATGTATTTAGATGGAATAAGAAGTGCTAAAAAGTACTGAAGAGTGCATTATAAGGTCCTCTTACCAGTAGCTTGACAAGGAGCAAAAAAAATCATAACTATGTCCTGCATATTATATAGCGCCCTCAGCACTCTGCCCTTAATTCAATATTCTCAAATCCTTGCCACTCATTTTTTCTTGTATAGTGAATATCTATTTGAAACCATCATTATTTTGTATTCTATGTAAGTTTTGACACTTTTTTTGAGAGTTTCACACTTGTTTTCCCTAAGGCACCTCCCTGACTGGTATAAGTCTGCCCTGTTTAACGAGCTCTACTTTGTGAGTGATGGGGGCACGGTGTGGGTGGACAAGATGGCACACAAAAATGGTTTCCAGGATTCGAAAGCAGACACACCTCCCAGAGAAGAAGATTCTCAGAAAGATGTCAGAGACAACCCTCTAGAACAAGAGTATGGAAAGTTTGGGTATTTAGAAGGTAACATGATATGACCTTTCCTTTGAATCCACATTCATTCATTCATTCATTCATTCATTTTTTTATTTATTTATTTATTTATTTATTTATTTATTTATTTATTTATTTATTATAATTTTTTTATTTTTTTATTTATTTTATTATTATTATTATTTTTTTTTTTTTCATCAGCAAGACTAGTGATAGATGCATCAGTTTTAATAAGTAATATTGAGAAGTGTGTGAACAATTAAATATTGTTGTTTAAGTTTGAATGGTTTCAAACCTAATTGCCATGTTTTTTTTTCAGGCCAGGAATACAGAATGTACAATACCTATGATGTCCATTACTATGCATCATTTGCCCTGATAATGCTGTGGCCAAAGCTACAACTCAGTCTTCAGTATGACTTGGGTAAGTGCACAGGTGCCCTGGTGATAAAACTGACAAATTGTGATGATACAAGGTGTAAAATATATCAATCATGAAATTAATTTTATTGATAATAAAGAGAATTAAACATTGTCTTTATGTATTTCTACTGCAGCTATGGACATACCAAGAGAAGATCTGACACGTTTCAAATTCTGCATGGATGGCAATGTAGATGTGGTCAAAGCCAAGAACTGTGTACCTCATGATGTTGGTGACCCAGGTAATACTGTAACATATAACACAGTCATCGTAACATGTATCTTACACTTATTGTCTAATGTCTCACTTTCTCAGCTCAGTGTGTCCTGTTTGAACATGACACACTACAATATGTATCACACCCACGTCATACTCTGCTGAAATGAATTGTTATAAACCAAACTAGCTGAAATTGTTTGTTATTAACCAAAGAATATGAAATTGTGTTTGAAATTAACCAAATATTATGAATTTTTTAGTAATAAACCAAACAAGCTGAAATTGTTTGTTATAAAGCAAACAAGCTGAAATTGTTTGAAATAAACTAAACAAGCTGAAATTGTTTGTAATAAACCAAGCCAGCAGACTTTTTTTTTTTTTTCGTAATAAAGCAAACAAACTGAAATTGCTTCTATCTCCAGAGGACGAGCCATGGATCAGAACCAACTGTTATGCAATCCATGCCACCCATGACTGGAAGGATCTCAACCCAAAGTTTGTACTTCAGGTGTACAGAGACTATCATATAACCAAGGACCATGCCTATATGAAAAGCATGTACCCATGTGCCAAGGTGAGGATTTTTTCCTACTATACAAGGACTGTCATACTTTTAAGCAAATATGAGACATTTTCTAGTTTTATGAATGTGCGCCAGGGAAATTCATGTATGATTATCTTGTTGTAGGCTGTGACAGACAGTTGTCTGAGGTTTGATCATGATGGAGATGGCCTGATTGAAAATGGTGGATTTGCAGACCAGACGTATGATTCCTGGTCTATGACAGGTGCCAGGTGAGGGGAAACCCTGTCACACCTGACATAATTTACGCATCCAAAACACGGGTGCACTTAACACAATGCCACAATTTATACATCCCAAACACAGGTGCACCTAACACAATGTGACAGCTTATACCCATTTTTATGTAGAAACACTTAACAATCAACATTTTTTAGTTTAATTTATCATCAATTAATACTGGAAATTGATTTTAAACAATACAATATTTTGTTTCTAATGACTATTTAAACTTTGTTATAAACCTTAATTTACCCATTCAACACTGTCAAAGTATTGGTTTAACTCACCCATGTACACTTGATGTACTGTGATGGTTTTCAGTGCATATTGTGGAGGTTTATGGCTGGCTTCACTGCACTTGATGTGCCTAATGGCAAGACAGCTGGGTTACTATGGAGACGAAAAGAAATATAAGGAAATACTGGACAAAGGCAAAATCTCCTTTGAGAGAAAACTGTGGAATGGTATGTGAAAAAAAAGAAACTAGTATTGTTCATGCTTTAGATTCAAT